AGGAAGAACGGAGGCCTCATGGAAGGGGACTGGAACCAGAAAATGAAGCTATAGGAGTATTTTTTTTAAACATTATACTTTAAGTTCTTGTTACATGTGAAGGTTAGGGTTACATATTAACATGTCCCATGTTGGTCGTGGTGCACCCATTAACTCGTCATTTACATAGGCTATTACTCCTAAGCTATCCCTTACCCACCTCCCCCTACACAACAGGCCCCGGTGTGTGGATGCTTCACCCTTCCTGGTCAAGTGGTCTCATTGTTCATCCCACCTAGAGTGAGAAAATGCGGTGTTTGGTTTTTTGTCCTTCGCATAGTTTGCTGAAGAATGATGGCTTCACTGCACCATGTCCCTACAAAGGACATTGAACTCATCATTTTTATGGCTGCACTAGTATTCCCATGGTATATAGCATCCCATATTCCTTAATCCAATCCTATCATTGATCGACATGGCTTGGTTCCAAAGTCTTTGCTATTTGGAATAGTGCCCTCAATAAACTTACATGTGCATGGTACTTTGATAGCACATGATTATTAACCTTTGGGTATATATCCAGTAATGGGACTGACTGGCAAATTGGTATTTCTAGCTTCTAGAAGATCCTTGAGAAATCGCCCACACTGTCTCCACAATGTTGTAACTGTACAATCCTACAACAGTGTAAAAGAGGTCCCCCTGTTTTTTCCACATCCTCCCAGCAGCCTGTTGTTTCCTGACTTATTATATATCTTATTATTGTGGAACGCCAGTACTCTCGTGTGAGTAAACACTATCATAATAATCCCATATACTATATGTATAACTTATTATAATTAATTAAATTAATGTAGATATATCCTACTATGTATATATGTGTACGTATATAAGATGCCAATATGGAGTTATAAGTAGTATTAACTCACACATCACAAGCCCAACATAGGCCCGTCTGCAAGCTGAGAGCAAGAAGCCACTCTAGTCCCAAAGTTGGAAGAACTTGGAGTCTGATGTTTGAAACTTGGAGCCGATGTCTGAGGGCAGGAAGCATCCAGCACGGAGAAAAGTGGCTGGGAGGTAAAGACAGCTAGCCTCTTCACGTTTTCGTCTGCTTTATATCTAGCCAACCTGGCAGCCGATAGAATGGTGCCCCATGCAGATTAAGTTGTCTGCCTTTCAACCACTGATCCAAATGTTAATCTTCCTTTTGGCACACCCACAGGCACACCTAGCATCAATACTTTGCATCCTTCAATCCAAGCGAGCTGAACAATCAGTATTAAATCAGTATTAACCATTACAGAAGCCAATCTCCATATGCAAGTATTCCAAGAAGCTGATGAAAATCATGTCCCTGACATGGAAATCAAGGCACTTTCACCACATTCTACTGGTCAAGGAAGTCATTAAGGTAAGCCCAGATTGAAGAGGAAGGGATTCAATTCCACCTTTCAATGGGAAGAACAGAAAGAATTTGTGGCTACCTTAAACCTATCACTTAAATAGAGTTTCCAATAGTTTAAAGAATAATTGATTTTTAGAACAGCATTAGGTTTACAGAAAAATTAAGAAGCTAGTATAAAAAGCTTCCAAATACCTTGAAACCAGCTTCCCCTGTTTTTAACTTCTTACATTAGTATATTTATTATAATTAATGAAAGGATATTGATACCCCGTTAGTAACTAAAGTCCATAGTTTATTTAGGTTTTCTTCATTTTCACCAGACGTCCTCTTTCTGTTCCAGAATCCCATTCAGGACACATTGCATTTAGTTGTCCTGTCTCTTTAGCCTCCTCTTGACTGTGACAGTTTCTCAGATTTTTCCTTGTTTTTGATGACCTTCACAGTTATGAGCAGTACTGGTAAGAAACTTGCTTATTTTCCGGCACAAGTTGCTTCAGATCCTTACCAGGGTCTGAAGGGCCCTGGTAAGGTTGTAGAATATCCCTATTGGAATTTGTGTGATTTTTCCCCCTAATGATTAGACTGACATTATTGGTTTTGGGGAGCAAGATAACAGAGATAAAGTACCATTTCTATCACATCCTATCAAGGAGATACTGTCAACCTGATTTATCACTGAGGATTATGACACTGATTACCTGGCTAATGTGGTATTTTTCTCCAGTGTAAAGTTACTCTTTTTCTCCCCTTTCCACACTGAACTCTTTGGAACCAGGTCATTATTTGCAGCCTGCATTTTAAAAAGTGAGGAGTTGGGCTTTCCTTCCTTGATGGTGCTGTATTTATATACATTACTTGGAATTCTTCTGTATTGGAGATTTGTCTCTTCTCCTCACTTATTTATTCAATCATTTATTTATACCAGTAGGAACTCATGAATATTTATTTTAAACTTTGGGTTTATCTTTTTTTTTTTTTTCTTTTGAGACGGAGTCTGCTCTGTCACCCAGGCTGGAGTGCAGTGGCACAACCTTAGCTCACTGCAAGCTCTGCCTCCTGGGTTCACGTCATTCTCCTGCCTCAGCCTCCCCAGTAGCTGGGACTATAGTCGCCAGCCACCGCACCTGGCTAATTTTTTTGTGTGTGTGTATTTTTAGTAGAGACAGGGTTTCACCACGTTGGCTAGGATGGTCTCAATCTCTTGACCTCGTGATCTGCCTGCCTTGGCCTCACAAAATGCTGGGATTACAGGCGTGAGCCACCGCGCCCGGCCAACTTTGGGTTTATCTTAGTCCATTCCTGCTGCTATAACAAAATACCTTAGACTGGGTAATTTATAAACAACAAAAATTTATTTCTTAGTTTCTGAAAGTTTGAAAGTCCAAACTTTCAAACACTTGCAGATTCAGTGTTTGGTGAGGGCTGCTCTCTGCTTCAAAGATGACATCTTCTCCCTGTGTCTTCACATGGCAGAAAGGGGAAACAAGAATGGACTTCCTCAGGCACTTTTATAAGGGCACTAATCCTACTCATGAGGGAGGAGCCTTCATAACCTAATCACCTCCTATAAACCTACCTCTTAATACTGTTGCATTGAGGATTAAGTTTCAATGTGAATTTTTGAGGGACACAAAAATTCAGACCACAGTTGGGTCATAACCCAATACCACCGAATTCATTTCTTGCTCAAATTGTTCCAGCTTTGGCCACTGCGAGCTCTTCTGTTGGCCTTTGTGCCTATGTGGGGTTTTATCATTATTGTAATTGTTATTTTCAGCACTTCCTTATTTTCTGGCACAAGATGTTTCAGATTCATCATGTATATTTTCTGTCCCAGATCTAGAATATGCCATTTCTCCAAGGACTGTGCAGTCCCTTTTTACACCTCTTTCCTTTTATTCTGTGGTTCTAGTTCTTCCCTGATCCTCATAAAAGTTTTGGTCAAATTGTATACATTTTCCCGGTTAGTTTTATTTAACAAATATAAATATTAAATAAAACTAACCGGGAAAATGTATATGATTTGTATATATGTATGAATACATGTATTTGTGTATTTATATATGTATTAATATATATATTTATATGTAAAATATATGAATTATATATGATTATATAAAAATTATAATTATATATAAATATATAATATATAAATTATGTTTTATATATATTATTTATATAAATAATTTGTAATAAATAGAAATAATAAATATCCTGGTGTTGTCAACTTTAAATGCCCAGAAATATGTAAAAGTGAAAACAAAACTCTTGATTTAAAGATACGTTTCACTCTACCTTTCCTGGCTGCCCGGCACTTCCACCTATGCATCTTCCCTGTTTACTGACCTAGTTTCTGTTCTTTTGGTGCTGGAAGCACAGAGAGGGGTGAGAGAGGGCGATAAGCTTCTCCTTGATTCCTAACATTATTGTGATTAGCCATGAACTTTGCAAATAGGTAAAGCGGCTTACCTCAAAGGCCGCTTTTGGCTTCTCCAGAGACACAAATGCTGAGGATCTCTCATCTGAGCATCCCTCGACGAGGGCTATTGCGTCTTGATTCCATCTGGGTAGTTACAGGCCTCATCTACCATAAAAAGTTTCCAACCCAGAGTCAGGCTGCAGCTGAGCTGACGGGCGTGGTGCAGACGTCGGTGCAGCTAAAGCTGAGGAGCCGTGGGCATTCACCGGGGTGCTGGCGTTTCTAAATCGTGGGCTGTGACCTGAAGAGTCGGGTGCCGGCTGACAGCAGAGGCGGACTTGCGAGACCAGAACTCCTGCGTGTGACTTGGAATCTCAGTCGCGCTATGGGAGTGCACGCTGGCTCAAATCCCCATGGAATATGCACCTGTGACCTGCCCACGCTGCAAAACCAGGTGCACTGCCGTGGGCACGACTCACCGCGCTCCATTTTCACCGCGGGGAACTTAGACCGCCTGACATTGAAAAAGACGGCCATGGCGGGGGCTGGAGGTGGCTCCGGGGCAGCCAAGAGAAACCAGAGTGGAGGATCCTGGTACCATTCAGGAAGCGGACCTAGCCGCAAACTCAGGAGCGTTCCAAGTGTCCAGAGCGTCTGGTAGCCGCAATAGCCAGTCATCAGTGACACCCTCAAGAACGCAATAGCGGCAGAAACATGGCGGCTACCTACACCGCCGCTCCGGTGCGCCCACGCGCGAGCTCTGCTGGACGCGACCGCGCTAGCTCCGCACTGGAGGCTCCCGCGGGAGGTCTGCACTGCGGAGTCCGCTGCTCTAGTCTCTGAGCAGTCTCCTATTGCCACCTAGGGAGGAATACCGGGATGGCGGCTGGAGTACCGTGTCTCAGGATAGTTGTTTTGAGAGCCTCTAAAAGTCATACAGTGCTATATTGGGTGCACGCTAAACGTGCCTTTGACACTGGGATTAAATCATATAACCCATACAAAAAGTGACTGGAAAAGACAGCCCCCAGAATGGAGAGAATGTTTGCAAATCATATTTCTGATAAGAGACTAATATCCAGAATATATAAAGGACTCCTAAATTCAACAACGGGAACAAACAACTCATTTAAGAGACAGGAGAAGGACTTGAATAGACATGTCTCGAAATAAAATACACAAATGGCCAATAATTACATGAAAAAATGCTCAACATCACTGATCACCAGGGAAATGCAAATCAAAATAACATGGAGATAGCACTTCACTCCAACTAGAATGGCTATTAACCAGAAAAAAAAAAAAAAAGGGAAATTAACAGGTGTTGGTAAACATATGGAGAAACCGAAACCCTTGTGCATTGCTGGTGGTAATGTAAAATGGTTCAGCTGCTGTGGAAAACAATGGTAGTTCCTCAAAAAGGTAAATATAGAATTAATATATGACCCGGCAATCCCAATCGTAGGTATGTACTCCACACCATTGAAATAGGGACACAAACAGATATTGACATCAATGCTTATATCAGCATTATTTATAGTAGCCGAAAGATGGAAATAACCCAAGTGTCCATCGACAGATAAATAAATAAACAAAATGTGGTATTTTGATACAATGGCACTGACTACTAACCCCTTCTCTGCTGGAAGTTAACATCGGATGGTCTTCTCTCAATTTTTTTTTTTTTTTGAGACGTCTTGCTCTGCTGCCCAGGCTGAAGTGCAGTGGCTCAATCTTAGCTCGCTGCAACCTCCACCTCCTGGGTTCAAGCAATTCTCCTGCCTCAGCCTCCTGAGTTGCTGGGACTACAGGCATATGCCATCACACCCGACTAAGTTTTGTATTTTTAGTAGAAATGGGGTTTCAGCATGTTGGCCAGGCTGGTCTTGAACTCCTGACCTCATGATCCACTGATCTCGACATCCCAAAGTGTTGGGATTATAGGTGTGAGCCAACGTACCCGGCCTTCTCTTAATTTCCCTCCTCCTCTTTCTTTCTTTTTCCTCCTTCTCTTCCTTCCCCTCCTCCTCCTTCTTTTAAACTTTTAAATTGAGGTTCAATTCACTTACAATAAAATGTTACCCATTTAAGTGTACATTTTGGCAAATTTGACTCATTCACCCATGAATCATCACAATCTTGGAAAACATTTCTATGACCCCCAAAATGTTCTTTGTCCACATTCTAGTTAAATCTCCCAATCCCTCCCACCTCAGGTAGCCATTAGTCCATTGTCTGTCACCATAGATTAAATCTATTTTTTTTCTAGAATTGCATATAAATGGAGTGATATGTATGTAGTCTTTTGTGTCTGGTTTCTTTCACTCAGTATTTCACTATAATGTTTTTAAGATTCATTCATGTCATTGCATGCATTCGTAGTTCTTTTTATAGTTGATGTGTAGTAGTCTGTTGTATAGATATATCACAATCCACTTATTCAGTCACCTGCTGATGGACTTTTGGGTTGTGTCCCGTCTTTGGATATTATGAACAAAGACTTGTGTACAATAATAAGTTGTACACTTGTTTATAATAAATTGGCAAACTGTTTCCCAATGTGATTGTCCCAATTTACATTCCAACCAGTAATTCTAGTTATGTGTAGCAGAATCCCATGTTAGTTTTAATACATTTTTATTTTTAATTGACAATAATTGAACACATTCGTGGGGTACATAGTGATGTTTCAATACACGTAAGTACATGGTGATCAGATCAGGGTAACTGGCATATCCATCATCTCAAACATTTATCATTTCTTTGTGTCGGGAACATTCAGTATCCTCTTTCTACCTATTTGAAACTACATAATATAACTGTTAACTATAGTCATTCTACAGTGTTATAGAATACTAGAATTTATTCCTCCTACCTAGCTGTGTTTGTATTCTTTAAAAATCTCTCTCTATCCCTCTTTCTCCCTACCCTTCCCAGCCTCTAGTAACCACTGGTCCACTTTTCACTTTTATGAGATCAGCATTTTTCAGCTTCCACATATGAGTGAGAAGACGCAGTGTTTAACAGTTCCTGGCTCTATTCACTTAACATAATGTCCTTCAGTTCCATCTATGTTGCTGCAAATGACAAGATTGCATTCTTTCCTATGCTGAATATTATTTCACTTGTATATATAACACATTTTCTTTTACATTCATGTGTTGTTGGACACCGAGATTGATTCCATATCTTAGCTCTTGTGAATAGTGCTGTAATAAACATGGGGTGCAGATGTCTTTCTAATATGATTTCCTTTTTAAAAAAATAAACGCCCAGTAGCGGGATTGCTGGATCACATGGTAGTTCCATTTGTATTTTATCGAGGGACCTCCACACTATCCTCTCTAGTGGCTGTACTGGCATTCCCGCCAACAGTATATAACATTCCTGCCAACAGCATATAAGAGTTCCTCCCCCACTTTTTTTTTTCGGGAGGTGGGGAGGAGACAGAGTCTCACTCTGTGGCCCAGGCTGGAGTGCAGTAGAGTGATCTCTGCTCACTGCAACCTTCGCCTCCCAGGTTCAAGCGATTCTCCTGTCTCAGCCTCCCGAGTAGCAGGCACCCATCACTATGCCTGGTTAATTTTTTTTTTTTTTTAGTAGAGATGTGGTTTTGCCATCTGGCCCAGTCTGGTCTCAAACTCCTGACCTCAGGTGATCCACCTCCTTCGGCCTCCCAAAGTGTTGGGATTACAGGTGTGAGCCACTGCACCCGGCCAGAGTTCTCCCTTTTCTGCATTTTTGCCAGCCTTTATTATTTTCTTTTTATCTTTTTGATAATAGCCCTCTTAACTCAGGTGAGATGATGCCTCTTTGTGGTTTTTATTTACATTTCCCTGATTAGTGGTGTTGAGTATTTTTTATATTTGTTGATTATTTGTGTGTATTCTTTTGAAAAATGTCTATTCAGATTATCTGCCCATTTTAAAATCCAATTTTGTTTTTGCTATTGAGATTTTTGCGTTCTTGTATATTCTGGATATTAATCCCCTATTGGACGAGTAGTTTGCAAATATTTTCTCCCATTCTTCCCATTCTGTAGGTTGTCTCTTCAATTCGCTGATTGTTTCCTTTGCTGTACAGAAGTTTTTTTTAGGTATATATAGTCAGATTTGTTTATTTTTAATTTTGTTGTTTGGGCTTTTGAGGTCTTATTCATAAAATCTTTTCTCAGACCAATGTCCTGAAGTGTTTTCCTTATATATTTTTTTCATCTAGTAGTTTTATCGTTTTTGGGTCCTACATTTAGATTTTTGGTCCATTCTGAGTTGATTTTTGATGTGGTGAGAGGTGGGGATGTAGTTTCTTTATTCTGTATATGGATATCCAGTATTCTCAGCACCATTTATTGAAGAGACTGTCCTTGACCTATTGAGTGTTCTGGACATCTTTGTCAAAAATCAGTTGGCTGTAGACACGTGGATTAATTTCTGGATTTTTCTATTCTTCTCCATTGGTCTATGTGTCTGTTTTTATGCCAATATCATGCTGATTTGGTTACTACAGCTTTGTAGTATATTTTGAGGTCTGGTAGTGTGATGCCTCCAGCTTTGTTCTTGTTGTTCAGGATTGCTTTGGATATTTTGGGGCCTTTTTTGGCTTCATTCAAAGTTTAGGAATTTTTTTTCTATTTCTGTGAAGAACGTCATTGTTATTTTGGGATTGCACTGAATCTGTAGGTTGTTTTGGATAGTATGGTCATTTTACTTTTTAAATGGTTTTATTTTATGTGCAAATAATGAACAGATGTTGTACCCATAAATTCTACTTCCCCAAAGAAGGAGCTCTTTGAAAGAAAACCACATAATAACTTTTAAAAGGGACTGGGATTCCTCTGCTTCTAGATCATTGATAGGCTAGAAAAACAAAGTTTCTTCTACCAGGAATCTCAAGTTAGAACTGAGTATTCTCCAAAGTGGAACTTCTAGAGTGTAGTGTAATTTCAAGCAGAGATTATTCAGTTCACATCGCCAACATTCACAACTACCTATCAGAAGGGTTAAACTAGGTCAAAACAGTCTAGCATAATTAGGCTTCATCAAACAATGTCACTATGCTCATCTAAGATGCAAAGAAACCAAAACAGGAAATACTAAAATCAAAATAATATTTGACACTGTCATACAAATTGTTAGTTACTTGTTGTATCCCCCTTCTATAACATTAATAAGGAGAATATTTTACTGCAAAAAGTATTTTATTTTATACATCACTAGCCATGAATTTTTGCCATTAGTTATTATACAAATGCTGCCTCGTGCCATTATCCAAATGACATAACCATTTTACGTCCACAATTCACTTCTATAGTTATAAGTGGAATTATCATGATTTACATAAGTACATCTATCAGTGATGATTTAACACTGAGATGCAATCTAACATCCATAATATCTGAAGTTTTGCAGATGGCAATGTAGGAAAGATATATTTTAATCACTTTTCATTTAAATGACCTTATGTAAAAAATAAATGAATAATTTAACAGTTCCAAGTCTCCAAAGGGCACGTTCAAATGTACATAAAAGAAATGGTTACAGAGATTTTTAAGAAGGATCTTCTGTGTCCACATCCTCTTGTAACTGCTGAACCATTTTCTCTTCCACCTGTTTCCCTTTGTCTGCAAGAGGGTCTCGGATAAGATGAATGTTTTGCTTGACTTCTTTGATATTCTGAACTTTCTGTAGCTCTTATTTTTCTTCAATCTGCTCATTATAAATTTAGCTTGGCGTTTCTGTTTGATCTCTTCAACTCTC